AGTGGGTCCATGGCGTAGTGGGTCCATGGCGTAGTGGGTCCATGGCGTAGTGGGTCCATGGCGTAGTGGGTCCATGGCGTAGTGGGTCCATGGCGTAGTGGGTCCAATGGCGTAGTGGGTCCATGGCGTAGTGGGTCCATGGCGTAGTGGGTCCAGGGCGTAGTGGGGTCCATGGTCTAGTGGGTCCATGGCGTAGTGGGTCCATGGCGTTAGTGGGTCATGGTAGTGGTCCATGGTAGTGGGTCCATGGCGTAGTGGGTCCATGGGGTAGTGGGTCCATGGCGTAGTGGGTCCATGGCGTAGTGGGTCCATGGCGTAGTGGGTCCATGGCGTAGTGGGTCCATGGCGTAGTGGGTTCATGGCGTAGTGGGGTCCATGGCGTAGTGGGTCCATGGCGTAGTGGGTCCATGGCGTAGTGGGTCCATGGCCGTAGTGGGTCCATGGCGTAGTGGGTCCATGGCGTAGTGGGTCCATGGCGTAGTGGGTCCATGGCGTAGTGGGTCCATGGCGTAGTGGGTCCATGGCGTAGTGGGTCCATGGCGTAGTGGGTCCATGGCGTAGTGGGTCCATGGCGTAGTGGGTCCATGGCGTAGTGGGTCCATGGCGTAGTGGGTCCATGGCGTAGTGGGTCCATGGCGTAGTGGGTCCATGGCGTAGTGGGTCCATGGCGTAGTGGGTCCATGGCGTAGTGGGTCCATGGCGTAGTGGGTCCATGGCGTAGTGGGTCCATGGCGTAGTGGGTCCATGGCGTAGTGGGTCCATGGCGTAGTGGGTCCATGGCGTAGTGGGTCCATGGCGTAGTGGGTCCATGGCGTAGTGGGTCCATGGCGTAGTGGGTCCATGGCGTAGTGGGTCCATGGCGTAGTGGGTCCATGGCGTAGTGGGTCCATGGCGTAGTGGGTCCATGGCGTAGTGGGTCCATGGCGTAGTGGGTCCATGGCGTAGTGGGTCCATGGCGTAGTGGGTCCATGGCGTAGTGGGTCCATGGCGTAGTGGGTCCATGGCGTAGTGGGTCCATGGCGTAGTGGGTCCATGGCGTAGTGGGTCCATGGCGTAGTGGGTCCATGGCGTAGTGGGTCCATGGCGTAGTGGGTCCATGGCGTAGTGGGTCCATGGCGTAGTGGGTCCATGGCGTAGTGGGTCCATGGCGTAGTGGGTCCATGGCGTAGTGGGTCCATGGCGTAGTGGGTCCATGGCGTAGTGGGTCCATGGCGTAGTGGGTCCATGGCGTAGTGGGTCCATGGCGTAGTGGGTCCATGGCGTAGTGGGGTCCATGGCGTAGTGGGTCCATGGCGTAGTGGGTCCATGGCGTAGTGGGTCCATGGCGTAGTGGGTCCATGGCGTAGTGGGTCCATGGCGTAGTGGGTCCATGGCGTAGTGGGTCCGTGGCGTAGTGGGTCCGTGGCGTAGTGGGTCCATGGCGTAGTGGGTCCATGGCGTAGTGGGTCCGTGGCGTAGTGGGTCCGTGGCGTAGTGGGTCCGTGGCGTAGTGGGTCCATGGCGTAGTGGGTCCATGGCGTAGTGGGTCCAAGGCGTAGTGGGTCCGTGGCGTAGTGGGTCCGTGGCGTAGTGGGTCCGTGGCGTAGTGGGTCCATGGCGTAGTGGGTCCATGGCGTAGTGGGTCCGTGGCGTAGTGGGTCCGTGGCGTAGTGGGTCCGTGGCGTAGTGGGTCCGTGGCGTAGTGGGTCCATGGCGTAGTGGGTCCATGGCGTAGTGGGTCCGTGGCGTAGTGGGTCCGTGGCGTAGTGGGTCCATGGCGTAGTGGGTCCATGGCGTAGTGGGTCCATGGCGTAGTGGGTCCATGGCGTAGTGGGTCCATGGCGTAGTGGGTCCGTGGCGTAGTGGGTCCATGGCGTAGTGGGTCCATGGCGTAGTGGGTCCATGGCGTAGTGGGTCCATGGCGTAGTGGGTCCATGGCGTAGTGGGTCCATGGCGTAGTGGGTCCATGGCGTAGTGGGTCCATGGCGTAGTGGGTCCATGGCGTAGTGGGTCCATGGCGTAGTGGGTCCATGGCGTAGTGGGTCCATGGCGTAGTGGGTCCATGGCGTAGTGGGTCCATGGCGTAGTGGGTCCATGGCGTAGTGGGTCCATGGCGTAGTGGGTCCATGGCGTAGTGGGTCCATGGCGTAGTGGGTCCATGGCGTAGTGGGTCCATGGCGTAGTGGGTCCATGGCGTAGTGGGTCCATGGCGTAGTGGGTCCATGGCGTAGTGGGTCCATGGCGTAGTGGGTCCATGGCGTAGTGGGTCCATGGCGTAGTGGGTCCATGGCGTAGTGGGTCCATGGCGTAGTGGGTCCATGGCGTAGTGGGTCCATGGCGTAGTGGGTCCATGGCGTAGTGGGTCCATTGGCGTAGTGGGTCCATGGCGTAGTGGGTCCATGGCGTAGTGGGTCCATGGCGTAGTGGGTCCATGGCGTAGTGGGTCCATGGCGTAGTGGGTCCATGGCGTAGTGGGTCCATGGCGTAGTGGGTCCATGGCGTAGTGGGTCCATGGCGTAGTGGGTCCATGGCGTAGTGGGTCCATGGCGTATGGGTCCATGGCGTAGTGGGTCCATGGCGTAGTGGGTCCATGGCGTAGTGGGTCCATGGCGTAGTGGGTCCATGGCGTAGTGGGTCCATGGCGTAGTGGGGTCCATGGCGTAGTGGGTCCATGGCGTAGTGGGTCCGTGGCGTAGTGGGTCCATGGCGTAGTGGGTCCATGGCGTAGTGGGTCCATGGCGTAGTGGGTCCATGGCGTAGTGGGTCCATGGCGTAGTTGGGTCCATGGCGTAGTGGGTCCTGGCGTAGTGGGTCCATGGCGTAGTGGGTCCATGCGTAGTGGTCCCTGGCGTAGTGGGTCATGGCGTAGTGGGTCCATGGCGTAGTGGAGTCCATGGCGTAGTGGGTCCATGGCGTAGTGGGTCCATGGCGTAGTGGGTCCATGGCGTAGTGGGTCCATGGCGTAGTGGGTCCATGGCGTAGTGGGTCCATGGCGTAGTGGGTCCATGGCGTAGTGGGTCCATGGCGTAGTGGGTCCATGGCGTAGTGGGTCCATGGCGTAGTGGGTCCATGGCGTAGTGGGTCCATGGCGTAGTGGGTCCATGGCGTAGTGGGTCCATGGCGTAGTGGGTCCATGGCGTAGTGGGTCCATGGCGTAGTGGGTCCATGGCGTAGTGGGTCCATGGCGTAGTGGGTCCATGGCGTAGTGGGTCCATGGCGTAGTGGGTCCATGGCGTAGTGGGTCCATGGCGTAGTGGGTCCATGGCGTAGTGGGTCCATGGCGTAGTGGGTCCATGGCGTAGTGGGTCCATGGCGTAGTGGGTCCATGGCGTAGTGGGTCCATGGCGTAGTGGGTCCATGGCGTAGTGGGTCCATGGCGTAGTGGGTCCATGGCGTAGTGGGTCCATGGCGTAGTGGGTCCATGGCGTAGTGGGTCCATGGCGTAGTGGGTCCATGGCGTAGTGGGTCCATGGCGTAGTGGGTCCATGGCGTAGTGGGTCCATGGCGTAGTGGGTCCATGGCGTAGTGGGTCCATGGCGTAGTGGGTCCATGGCGTAGTGGGTCCATGGCGTAGTGGGTCCATGGCGTAGTGGGTCCGTGGCGTAGTGGGTCCATGGCGTAGTGGGTCCATGGCGTAGTGGGTCCATGGCGTAGTGGGTCCGTGGCGTAGTGGGTCCGTGGCGTAGTGGGTCCGTGGCGTAGTGGGTCCATGGCGTAGTGGGTCCATGGCGTAGTGGGTCCAAGGCGTAGTGGGTCCGTGGCGTAGTGGGTCCGTGGCGTAGTGGGTCCGTGGCGTAGTGGGTCCATGGCGTAGTGGGTCCATGGCGTAGTGGGTCCGTGGCGTAGTGGGTCCGTGGCGTAGTGGGTCCGTGGCGTAGTGGGTCCGTGGCGTAGTGGGTCCATGGCGTAGTGGGTCCATGGCGTAGTGGGTCCGTGGCGTAGTGGGTCCGTGGCGTAGTGGGTCCGTGGCGTAGTGGGTCCATGGCGTAGTGGGTCCATGGCGTAGTGGGTCCATGGCGTAGTGGGTCCGTGGCGTAGTGGGTCCGTGGCGTAGTGGGTCCATGGCGTAGTGGGTCCATGGCGTAGTGGGTCCATGGCGTAGTGGGTCCATGGCGTAGTGGGTCCGTGGCGTAGTGGGTCCATGGCGTAGTGGGTCCATGGCGTAGTGGGTCCATGGCGTAGTGGGTCCATGGCGTAGTGGGTCCATGGCGTAGTGGGTCCATGGCGTAGTGGGTCCATGGCGTAGTGGGTCCATGGCGTAGTGGGTCCATGGCGTAGTGGGTCCATGGCGTAGTGGGTCCATGGCGTAGTGGGTCCATGGCGTAGTGGGTCCATGGCGTAGTGGGTCCATGGCGTAGTGGGTCCATGGCGTAGTGGGTCCATGGCGTAGTGGGTCCATGGCGTAGTGGGTCCATGGCGTAGTGGGTCCATGGCGTAGTGGGTCCATGGCGTAGTGGGTCCATGGCGTAGTGGGTCCATGGCGTAGTGGGTCCATGGCGTAGTGGGTCCATGGCGTAGTGGGTCCATGGCGTAGTGGGTCCATGGCGTAGTGGGTCCATGGCGTAGTGGGTCCGTGGCGTAGTGGGTCCGTGGCGTAGTGGGTCCATGGCGTAGTGGGTCCATGGCGTAGTGGGTCCATGGCGTAGTGGGTCCATGGCGTAGTGGGTCCATGGCGTAGTGGGTCCATGGCGTAGTGGGTCCATGGCGTAGTGGGTCCATGGCGTAGTGGGTCCATGGCGTAGTGGGTCCATGGCGTAGTGGGTCCATGGCGTAGTGGGTCCATGGCGTAGTGGGTCCATGGCGTAGTGGGTCCATGGCGTAGTGGGTCCATGGCGTAGTGGGTCCATGGCGTAGTGGGTCCATGGCGTAGTGGGTCCATGGCGTAGTGGGTCCATGGCGTAGTGGGTCCATGGCGTAGTGGGTCCATGGCGTAGTGGGTCCATGGCGTAGTGGGTCCATGGCGTAGTGGGTCCATGGCGTAGTGGGTCCATGGCGTAGTGGGTCCATGGCGTAGTGGGTCCATGGCGTAGTGGGTCCAGGGCGTAGTGGGACCATGGCGTAGTGGGTCCATGGCGTAGTGGGTCCATGGCGTAGTGGGTCCATGGCGTAGTGGGTCCATGGCGTAGTGGGTCCATGGCGTAGTGGGTCCATGGCGTAGTGGGTCACCTGCACGCGCCCCTCTCACCTGCACGCGCCCCTCTCACCTGCACGCGCCCCTCTCACCTGCACGCGCCCCTCTCACCTGCACGCGCCCCGCTCACCTGCACGCGCCCCGCTCACTTGCACGCGCCCCTCTCACCTGCACGCGCCCCTCTCACCTGCACGCGCCCCTCTCACCTGCACGCGCCCCTCTCACCTGCACGCGCCCCTCTCACCTGCACGCGCCCCTCTCACCTGCACGCGCCCCTCTCACCTGCACGCGCCCCTCTCACCTGCACGCGCCCCTCTCACCTGCACGCGCCCCTCTCACCTGCACGCGCCCCTCTCACCTGCACGCGCCCCTCTCACCTGCACGCGCCCCTCTCACCTGCACGCGCCCCTCTCACCTGCACGCGCCCCTCTCACCTGCACGCGCCCCTCTCACCTGCACGCGCCCCGCTCACCTGCACGCGCCCCGCTCACCTGCACGCGCCCCTCTCACCTGCACGCGCCCCGCTCACCTGCACGCGCCCCTCTCACCTGCACGCGCCCCTCTCACCTGCACGCGCCCCTCTCACCTGCACGCGCCCCTCTCACCTGCACGCGCCCCTCTCACCTGCACGCGCCCCTCTCACCTGCACGCGCCCCTCTCACCTGCACGCGCCCCTCTCACCTGCACGCGCCCCTCTCACCTGCACGCGCCCCTCTCACCTGCACGCACCCCTCTCACCTGCACGCACCCCTCTCACCTGCACGCACCCCTCTCACCTGCACGCGCCCCTCTCACCTGCACGCGCCCCTCTCACCTGCACGCGCCCCTCTCACCTGCACGCACCCCTCTCACCTGCACGCACCCCTCTCACCTGCACGCACCCCTCTCACCTGCATGCACCCCTCTCACCTGCACGCACCCCTCTCACCTGCACGCACCCCTCTCACCTGCACGCACCCCTCTCACCTGCACGCACCCCTCTCACCTGCACGCACCCCTCTCACCTGCACGCACCCCTCTCACCTGCACGCACCCCTCTCACCTGCACGCGCCCCTCTCACCTGCACGCGCCCCTCTCACCTGCACGCACCCCTCTCACCTGCACGCACCCCTCTCACCTGCACGCACCCCTCTCACCTGCACGCGCCCCTCTCACCTGCACGCGCCCCTCTCACCTGCACGCACCCCTCTCACCTGCACGCACCCCTCTCACCTGCACGCACCCCTCTCACCTGCACGCGCCCATCTCACCTGCACGCGCCCCTCTCACCTGCACGCGCCCCTCTCACCTGCACGCACCCCTCTCACCTGCACGCGCCCCTCTCACCTGCACGCGCCCCTCTCACCTGCACGCGCCCCTCTCACCTGCACGCACCCCTCTCACCTGCACGCACCCCTCTCACCTGCACGCACCCCTCTCACCTGCACGCACCCCTCTCACCTGCACGCAACCCTCTCACCTGCACGCACCCCTCTCACCTGCACGCACCCCTCTCACCTGCACGCACCCCTCTCACCTGCACGCACCCCTCTCACCTGCACGCGCCCCTCTCACCTGCACGCGCCCCTCTCACCTGCACGCGCCCCTCTCACCTGCACGCACCCCTCTCACCTGCACGCACCCCTCTCACCTGCACGCACCCCTCTCACCTGCACGCACCCCTCTCACCTGCACGCGCCCCTCTCACCTGCACGCGCCCCTCTCACCTGCACGCGCCCCTCTCACCTGCACGCGCCCCTCTCACCTGCACGCGCCCCTCTCACCTGCACGCGCCCCTCTCACCTGCACGCGCCCCTCTCACCTGCACGCGCCCCTCTCACCTGCACGCGCCCCTCTCACCTGCACGCGCCCCTCTCACCTGCACGCACCCCTCTCACCTGCACGCACCCCTCTCACCTGCACGCACCCCTCTCACCTGCACGCACCCCTCTCACCTGCACGCGCCCCTCTCACCTGCACGCGCCCCTCTCACCTGCACTCGCCCCTCTCACCTGCACGCGCCCCTCTCACCTGCACGCGCCCCTCTCACCTGCACTCGCCCCTCTCACCTGCACGCGCCCCTCTCACCTGCACGCGCCCCTCTCACCTGCACGCGCCCCTCTCACCTGCACGCGCCCCTCTCACCTGCACGCGCCGCTCTCACCTGCACGCGCCCCTCTCACCTGCACGCGCCCCTCTCACCTGCACGCGCCCCTCTCACCTGCACGCGCCCCTCTCACCTGCACTCGCCCCTCTCACCTGCACGCGCCCCTCTCACCTGCACGCGCCCCTCTCACCTGCACGCGCCCCTCTCACCTGCACGCGCCCCTCTCACCTGCACGCGCCCCTCTCACCTGCACGCGCCCCTCTCACCTGCACGCGCCCCTCTCACCTGCACGCGCCCTCTCACCTGCACGCGCCCCTCTCACCTGCACGCGCCCCTCTCACCTGCACGCGCCGCTCTCACCTGCACGCGCCCCTCTCACCTGCACGCGCCCCTCTCACCTGCACGCGCCCCTCTCACCTGCACGCGCCCCTCTCACCTGCACGCGCCCCTCTCACCTGCACGCGCCCCTCTCACCTGCACGCGCCCCTCTCACCTGCACGCGCCCCTCTCACCTGCACGCGCCCCTCTCACCTGCACTCGCCCCTCTCACCTGCACGCGCCCCTCTCACCTGCACGCGCCCCTCTCACCTGCACGCGCCCCTCTCACCTGCACGCGCCCCTCTCACCTGCACGCGCCCATGGTCATCCAGCAGCAGCAAGTGGCGGTCGCGGATCATCTCGCGAATCACCCCCCTGCCCTCCCCCTCCACCTCCCCCTCGCTGCACACGCGCACCGCCACGCGTGGCCCGCTCAGGGGCGAGGCATGGCGCATGCACTGCAGAGAGCGGCGGGTGGGAGGGAGGGCAGGGCAGGAAGAGAGGGAGCAGGAGAAACGGCTGGCTAGAAGCAGCAGGTGGCACGGGCTGGTATAGAGGCGCGCATGCAGCTGTGCAAGGGCTGGTGCCCCGGCAAGCTTGCTTTGTGCATGACTCCATGGCACAGGCAGGAGGGAACGAGGCGAGAGGGCGACGGGCGAGGTGGGAGCACCTGGAGGAAGTGAGCTGTGTCACGCGGCCACGAGGAGAAGCGATACAGCGGCCGCCACTGCGCATCCTCCTCACAAGCGGCCTCCCCCCATGCTGCCTGCTTGCCATCTGCTCCTGCCCATCTCCCGCCTGCTTCACTGGGCCCCACGCGGCACAGCCTCTCCACCACATACCACTGCTCGCCTGCCCTAACCGCTGCTGCTGCTGCCTGTCCACCTGCAGCATGCGTGAGCCGCGGTGGGCACGGTGTCCCGTGGCCACGCACACCCCCCGTGTAGAAGTCATCATCATCGGGGTCTGAATCTGAATCTGCCTCCCCGCCAGCACTCCTCTCAGCCATGCGCCCATCCATTCCTGCCTCTATGTGCTCCACTGCCCACCCCTGCACGCCTCTCTCTACTGCCCTCCATCCCTCCCTGCCCCTGTCCGCTGCTGCTACTGCTGCTACTGGCATCTCCAGGCTCTCTGCTGTGCATGCAGGCGCCATGCCGACAGCCCCCGCACCTCGTCCACGCACCCAAGGGGCTGCACTGGCAGGTGCTGGCGGGTAGGGCGGGGGGCATGGGGATATGCGGTACACCCCCGCGTCCTGGTGCTGCGGGGGACAGGAGTGGTGGGATTGAGAGGTGGCATGGAGGGGAAACGCTTGGGTGAGGAGAGAGAAGGGGTGGGAGTGGGAGTGGCACATCACAGCAGGGAATGAAGGGACGTGTGTAATGAATGGAGATGGGAGGCGAGGGGAAGGAGCGGCGTGCCTGGTGGATGGTGGGTTGGAAGAGCAGTGGTTCCAGGAACATGGGGTGGGGCACAAGGCTGGCGGGGCAGCAGGGCGTGCTGACGTCAGCGAGCCATGCCATGCCGTTGATGTGCACCAGCAGACACATCTGCATGCGGTGAGGGGGTGAGGAATGGGGGTTGGTGGGGCAACGCATGGTGAGAGGGCATGTGCATGAATGAGAACACATGGGTAGGTGGGTGGGTTGTTGGTTGAGTGGGTGGGTGGGTGTGTAGGTGGGTGGGTGGGTGTGTGGGTACAGGACAGTACGGGATAGGAAGAGCCAAGTCACCGAGTGAGATGGCTCACTCACGTCGTACATGATCTGCCAGCTCTGCACTTGCTGGTGAGGCAGCTGCACTAGCTGACTGGACAGGCTGCTGCGCTGAGTCAGCAGGAGATGAGAGGCGAGCCACGCAGGCAGCCGCATGGTCCGGCGATGGCGCCGCTGCAGGGGAGGCAGCATTCAAAGTAGCAGCCGGTACATGTGGTTGACGAGAGGAGCGCCGGGAGGAGGACGGAGGGGAGTGGTGGTGGCGGGGCGAGTGTGGCGAGTGGCAGGAGAGGGCGGGCAGCAGGTCGACCTGGCAGGCGAGGTGGTGGCGGAGCACCCACGCCAACAGCACGTTGGACTGCCCTCCACGCACAGAGGAGAGGGGGGGTGGGAAGGAACAGCGATTGGATAGGGGTCAGCTTACGGGGGCCCGTGGTGCTCTGCGCGGCCTTACAAGCTCCTCACAGGCCCTGCGCTGTGGCGTGGCTGAACAGGACGAGGGCGTCGGTGCAAGTGGGAAGGAGTGTTGCAAGCTGGCGTGCGGGAGAGGTGAGTGAGGCAGGACGGTGAAAGTGAGGCAATGGGAGATGGTGATATGGTGATATGCTGCGAGCGACGAGCAGCACGTGGCGTTCTCGAAGACTCCCTCGCCATTTCTGCATCATCAACATCACAGCATCATCAACATCACAGCATCACAACATCACAACATCAACATCACAGCATCGCAACATGCATTTCCCTGCTGTGCTTCGCGCCCTCCCCATGTCCGCACCTCATGCGACCATGCCCCTCACACCCGTCGCGGCCTCACGTCCCGTGCGCCCCCCTCACCTCGAAGCACGAGCCCCCGCGCTGAGAGCACACCATCTTGCGGTACAGCGCGCGCGCGCCCAGCGCTGCAGGGCTGTCCGCCACGGGCCTGCATGCAGTGCAGTGGGCACGCCACACACGCGAGGGGAAGGGGAGCGCAGGAGCCGTGAGTGACTGAGTGCGTGCAGCATGGCATCTGAAGTGCATCGCCCGCACGCCCAGCGCGGCAGGGCTGTCCGCCTCACTGGGCCTTCATGCCGCAGGGAAGGCGCGGGACACAAGCGCCATACGGCGAGAGTGGGTGAGAGAACACACAGCAGCCATCCGCGCAACACGCTGCAGGCGGCGGGGGTCGGGCTGGAGGTCAGACGGCAGTGGCGATGCGCGAGAAACGGGTATGGGCGCGAGGGCGAGGGGTGAGGTGGGTGGAGCGGTTGGTGATGACGGTGGTACATGGGAACGACTTGTTGAAAAGGAAGGCATCTCACGAGAGCAGGTCGAGAGGAATGCTCCTCGCATGTTCCTCATGCAGCTGTCGGAACAGCCCCACGACGTCCTCTCCCCACGCCTCCCCCACTCCCCCGCCTTCCCCGGCCCCTCCGCCTCCCTCTCCCCCCACCGTCCCCCACATTCCGCCCGCAACCCCCCCGCGAGCACACCCCCGCCGGTAGGGGTCAAGGCGCGCGGGCAGCGGGCCGTCGTGGCGCAAGCGGAGCAGGTAGCCGCGGAGCATCTTGAGCGGCGAGGGGCCTTCCGCCTGCTCGTGCGCGTCCCATGACCGCGTCGCGTGCATGCCGGTACAACCGTTGCGGCGATGGGGGGTGCGAAGTCACCGAGTAGCGCGATCTCACGACTCGTAGCGTGCGAGCGGCAGGCAAGCTGGCGGGGATCTCACGACGTGCGAAGAGGTGGTGCGCCCGCAACAGTTGGCTTTTTGGGTGGGCTGGGAGGGAGGGTGCGCTGTTGGTTTTTGGGTGGGCTGGGAGGGAGGGTGCGCTGTTGGCTTTTTGGGTGTACCCACCCACCATAAATCGGCTCATTACACTACTGTCAAACAGTGTTGGTCTGTTTACTAATCCATGAAACATCCAATATAAATGTGACACGAATCAATATAATCTGCTTACTTTCAAGAAGAGTTCACATCATGGTGCTTGTTGAGATAACCTCGTGATTGAATGGATAGGATAAAGAGCCTTTTGAGTTAAGAAAGCGGATGTCTGTGTCAAGACACTATCATTGTAAATGTAATTAACAATAACATTGTAATATTGCATGTATTGATGTGTATAGTGTTGTCGGGAAAAGGCCCTGCCCTCTCTTTAGGCGAAGCCGACTTTGTTGTCTGACATGTTTCGATCAGAAACTAGATCGTAACCAGGATCACCTCGGGAAGGTTCGCAAAGAGTGCGTGTTAGTGGTGAGCCCTTGACCTCAAATCGTAGTGAATGTAAAATGATTGAGATAATGACATGCGAATACAAGCATATAAATAAGAGTACAAGGGAATACGAAACGACCTAACTAGCCATGTACTCTAAGTGGTACATTCCCTCATTGCAGCGAAATCCAACCGTGCGACTCCAGACGGTTATGAACCATTCTGGCAGAATCCCCGCCACTGCTGCTGCCTGGTGCTGTCTACCCTGACGGTCCAGATGCCCTGTAACCGTACGCGACCCTTCGTGTCATTCTTCTTCAGCCTCGGTACTGTGTACCTCGATTGCTGCTGTTAGGAGTGTACAATGTTCTTTCTCAATTTTACTATTCGTAACACCCCCCTTCACTCCTGGCCGTAGCAAGTCTTGGCCCGCTTGACTACTATGCTGAGATCGGCGCAGTGCTGGTATAGTCGCTTCGTGAGGAAGTCGACTGCCATGTCACCCGTCGAGCAGTAGGTCAAGAGTCATCCTTGCCTTTGTCAACTTCGTCCTTGACGAAGAAGTACCGCAGCGCAATATGTTTGGTGCGGTTGACGAACCCAGGTTTGTTCGCGATCCTGATCGCGCTCTGGTTGTCGCAGTGCAGGCGAAAGGTGGTCGAGGTTGAGATTTCGCTTCCTGTAGGAGCTCCTGTCGGTAGAGCCCTTCGCGAACAGCTACTGTCGGGGCGATGAATTCAGCTTCGGTCGATGACATGGCAACCAACTCCTGCTTTGTGAGTTTTTGGAGATGGGACCTGTTGTCTCTAGGCGGAACAGGAAGCCGGTTCAGAACCGTCGATTGTTGGGGTCAGCAGTGTGATTGGTGTCCACGTAGTCGATGAGGTTGAAGGACGGGGTCGTGACTGTGGAGTAACAGAGCCCGACATTGGGCGTGGAGATGAAGAATTGAAGGGCGCGCTCAAGATCCAGGTCATTTTCAGCCGTTGGTTTCCGTGAGTACTGAGCTAGCTGGCTCGCGATGTCAAACTTATATGCTATAGTCTGTGTAGGCTGTAGTGGGGTGGTTCATATGGGATACAACACTTTAGGGTTTCCTACTTGTACTCCTCATGCTGCTCAATGCAATCATTCCTCGTTCATATTCTCACGTGGTATTAGAGCAGAATCGTTCCTAGGGCCCACCGAACGTTCCGCCCTGCCCTAACTGAATTTGTTTTTTTAGCTGCCCCTGCGGCCGCGCTGCCCTTGCAGCCCGCGTGCTGCCCCTGCGGCCGTGCTGCCACTGCAGCCGTGCCTGCCCCTGCAGCTGTGCCTGCCCCTGCAGCCGTGCCTGCCTCTGCAGCCCGTGGGAGCTGCCCCTGCAGCCCGCGCGCCGCCCTCCCGAACAGCTGTGCCTGCCCCTGCAGCCGTGCCTACCCCTGCAGCCCGTGGGCGCTGCCTCTGCAGCCGTGCCTGCCCCTGCAGCCCGTGGGCGCTGCCCCTGCAGCCGTGCCTGCCTCTGCAACCCGTGGGAGCTGCCTCTGCAGCCTGCGCGCCGCCCTAAACGTGCTCGTCGCGACGCCCCTTCGGGACCCGCGCGGCGTCCCCCTCCTGCTCGTCGCGCCCCCCCGGGGCGTCGCCCCTGCTCGTCGTGGCGCCCCCTGGGTGTCGTTCCTGTTCGTCGCGGCGCCCCCTGGGCGCCTTCCCTGCTCGTTGCGGCGCCCCCCGGGGCGCCTTCCCTGCTCGTCGCGGCGCCCCCGGGGCGTCGCTCCTACTCTTCGCGGCGCCCCCCCCCTGCAGCATCTGCCTCGGAGCCCCGCCCTGCAGCAGCTGCCGCGGAGCCCCCTGCCGCCGTAGCGGCCCCGCCCTACAGCAGCTGCCGCGGAGCCGCCTGCAGCAGTCGCGGCCTCGCCCTGCAGCAGCTGCCGCGGAGCCCCCCTGCCGCCGTCGCGGCCCCGCCCTGCTGCAGCTGCCGCGGAGCCGCCTACAGCAGTCGTGGCCCCGCCCTGCAGCAGCTGCAGAGGAGCCCCCTGCCGCTGTCGTGGCCCTGCCCTGCAGCTGTCCCGGCCCCGCCGTCGCCGCCGTTGTGCGCCTACCCTGCTCGCCCGGCAAGCGACTGCCCTTCCCGCCACTGGTGAGCACTTGCCCTACCCGCGCTTCCCGCGCGCCTGCCTTACTAGCGCGCTGCCACACTGCCCTGCCCGTGCTGCTACTACTGTTTCTGCTGCTACTACGGCTACTATTGCTACTGCTGCTCCTGGCGGTGGCCAGATGCAGCTCCAGCGACGTCCGCGTGAGTCCCTCACGCCCTAGCAGCTACTTGAGTGGTACGCTAGTTGGGGTTGTAGGGGTGGCCGCGCTGCTACTGCTGCTACTGCTGTTACTGCTGCTACTGCTGCTACTGCGGCTACTACTGCTACTGCTGCTCCTGGCGGTGGCCAGATGCAGCTCCAGCGACGTCCGCGTGAGTCCCTCACGCCCCAGCAGCTTTGTGAGTGGTACGCTCGTTGGGGTTGTAGGGGTGGCCGTGGTGGGAGTCGCCCTGGAGCGGGTCGTTTGGGAGCTTCTGGTAGTGACCAGGTGCAGCTGCAGCAGCGTCCGCGCGTGGTCCTTTCGCCCCAGCAGCTTCGTGAGTGGTACGCTCAGAGTGGAGGGTCACGGAGTACTGCTCGCTACATGTACGTCATTCGCACTGGTGCTCGGGCTGGTCAGCCTTGCGGGACGATTGGTCACACAGAGTCCCGCTGCCTTTCCCGTCTGAGCGACGCCTGGCGTACAGAGTTTGGCGACGCGGCTGAGCTCCCCGACTGGGTGGAGCTGCTTAGGCAGAGGGTAGATATCTTTGCTCTTAACTATGATGCTATCCTCACTGCCATGTATGCATTGCCTACTAGTGCTGAGGGTGCCTGTTACCTGTGTGTGCCGCGTGACCCAGGTATAGAGTCTACTGCTCTAGGTGCTGGTGAGGCTGCTGCTCTAGGTGCTGGTGCGTCTCCTGCTCCAGGTGCCGGTGAGGCTACTGCTCTAGGCGCTAGGGAGTCCACTCCTCCAGGTGCTGGTGAGTCTGCTCTCTCTGGTACTACGCCTGCTGCGGCCTTGCACACTTTCACCCTTGACTCGGGTGCTTCCCGCTCCTTCTTTCGCGACTGCACCACACTCTCGCCGCTCAGTCGGCGAGTGGCAGTCTCTCTGGCTGACCCCTCTGGGGGTCCGGTCCTTGCACACTCCTCCACGGTTCTGCTATGTCCGGCGGTCCCGTCTGGCTCTCTGTCTGGCCTCCACCTCCCCTCGTTCTCCACGAACTTGGTGAGTGGAGCTGACCTTCAGGACGCGTGGGTTGACCAGTTCACTCCTGGAGGTCAGCGGGTGACCCACTGCTCGTGTACTCGGACTGGCCGGCACCTGGCCACGTTCACCCGTCAGCCTACCGTGTCTCCTCCGGTTGCTGAGTCTGGTCAGGTGGCTGCGTCGGGTCAGGTGTTTGCTGCAGCGTCCCGGTCTGGTCCTGAGTCTGCCCCCTGCTCGTGTCGCCTCCTGTCTCACCAGACTCTCCTCTGGCACCACCGCCTTGGTCAACCCTCCCTGCCTCGTCTGCGAGGCATGGCCTCCCGTGTCCTTGTCACTGGTCTTCCCCGGTCTCTCCCTCCCCTTCCCCCGGGGCCTGCCCCTACCTGCGTTCCTTGTGTCGAGGGGCGACAGCGCGCCGCTCCTCACTCCTCTGAGTTCCCTCCGACGGATGCTCCCCTGCAGACGCTTCACATGGACGTGTGGGGCCCAGCCCGCGTCCGTGGCCTGGGTCACGAGCGCTACTTTCTACTAGTCATTGACGACTACTCGCGTTACACCACAGTCTTCCCCTTGCGCCGCAAGGGTGAGGTCACTGAGGTGTTGATCGACAGGATCCGCGCTGCCCGTCGTTAGCTCAGCGAGAGTTTCGGCTCGGACCTTCCTGTTTTGCGTCTGCACTCCGACAGAGGTGGAGAGTTTTCCTCCGACCTTCTGCGAGCCTTCTGTCGTGCGGAGGGCATCCGCCAAACGTTCACGCTTCCGGCCTCTCCGCAGCAAAATGGGATTGCTGAGCGCCGCATTGGCATGGTCATGGACGTCGCTCGTACGTCCATGATCCATGTGGCTGCTCCCCATTTTCTGTGGCCGTTCGCGGTTCAGTACGCTGCGCATCAGATCAACCTTCAGCCTCGTGTCTGCTTGCCGGAGACCACACCTACTCTGTGGTGGACGGGGAAGGTTGTCAGTGCGTCTGCGTTCCGTGTCTGGGGATCTCGAGCTTTCGTCCGCGACTTGTCTGCGGACAAGCTGTCCTCCCATGCTGTTCCCTGCGTCTTCCTTGGCTTCCCCCCTGACGCGCCTGCTTGGCAGTTTTACCACCCCACCTCGCGCTGTGTTCTGTCCTCTCAGGACGTCACGTTTGA